GTTGTGATATACAGGGTTTGTCCGGAAAGTAATAGGACTGAGTCGATTTAAAAAAAATTATTGAGCCAATCGTTACAATTCTTTAAAAACTTTCAAAATAGGCTCCTTCTGCGTGGATGCAGCGCTGCCAGCGCGATTTCCAAGCATTGTAGCCGTCACGGAAGGCATTCTCCGGAATAGCCTTGAGAGCCGCGGTGCATGCTGCTCTGTCGTCTCAAAATGCTTGCCTTTTATCGGCCTTTTCAGGCGAGGAAACAAAAAAAGTCCGGGGTGGGGGGCACATCTGGGCTGTAGAGCGGCTGCAGAAGCGTTGGGATGCCGGCCTTGGTCAGGTAGCTGTTCACAAGAAAGGCGGTGTGAGCCGTGGCGTTGTCGTGGTGCAACTTCCAGTCGGCTGCGATGTCTTGTCGGACCCAGATTTTGGTAAATTTAACATCTGGGCAATTAAACGAATACTTAGTCGATGGTCTGAGTTCAAAACTTTGCGCACACGAGTCACATTATCGGTGTTTGTCGAAGTCGAAGGTCTCCCAGCACGGTCTTCATCAGCGACCTGTTCCCGGCCCTCCAAAAAGACCTGGTGCCACCGAAACACACCACTTCTTACTAAAGCAACACCTGGGTAAGCCTGCTTGATCATACCAAACGTCTCTGTCGCAGATTTACCGAGTTTTACACAGAATTTAATCGCGTACATCTGCTCTAACGAACGCTGCATTTTCGGCTTGCACCACTCACAGAAACACGTCGCACGAAAATGCCTGTCCTGACTCTCCAAGTGCTCGGAGACAACTGACCAGCCGCTCATTCGTTAGCTAGGAACGCCCTTTACCGAATCCAGTCTTTGCGCGCACTCTTCGAAGTACAGTCATGGCGGAAGAAAAGGAGTTCTATTACTTTCCCGACAAACCCTGTATGTCAACTGGAACATTTTGTAATGCGCGTATCGCTGACTGTGACTCTGACATTATAACGAATTTTTCATATAATTATTGATGTTTCTTAGACAGAACCGTAGTATCTTAGCTATATCGATTATTTTAGTTAGTAAGTCTTAGTAACCAGCCATTTCAATCTACTAAATCTTTAGAAGGAATTAGTTTACAATGGTCGGAATATTCTACTTGCTGATTGTCCCTCGTGTTCGTGACTTCTCCGCATGTGAATGGAAGACCTGAATTTGGCTGAGTGCCCGGTAGGGTATATTTAGGAACTGTAGGCGGTTTGGCAACTGTGCAACAGGAAAAAGAAAGAAGAGCATCTCGATCATCTCGGGACACGCACTCGCAACTAACAGATGGCGATTCTTCTGGAATACCGGACGTGCTGTCCTCGTGTTTACGAATTCCGTGCAAGTCAAACGCACAATTTGAGTGTCGTTGCAGATGCCATTTTGGTACCTGCTAAGAGCAATTAGCGGATGAGTATATCATCCGGACTTAATGGAAGAAATGCTGCTGCATCTTCATCACATACTTTACGCGATACAGTCCATTGTGATTGATGTTGCCGAGTAAGGCTGTGTGGTATGGCATGGTTTTTTGTCTACAAGGCTTGCGCCGTATCCGTTAGCGAATTGAAGTGAATGATGTGGAGACTGGTTACTGGAATCCTGATCGAAAGTTGGATCTCTTATACGTATTACTTGCCATGCCTGGTTTTCGGGATGCATCCAAAAAGCTTGTCTCGAACTGCCTGAAACTTGATGCAATATTTCCTTGCGTTTAGTGTTGTGATAAAAAAATCTACTTATTGGTTATAGCTATGTGAACAGGAATGCAGCGTAGAACTCCAGCTACCGATTACTCTACAAGTCTGCGTAAGTTTATCAAAATTTGGGCTTATTTCACAACTGATGCGACTAATTTAGCAAAATGGTGGTTCTTCTGGTTGTACCGGAAGTAAATATCAACTCGGTTATTTTAAATAGCCTATATATGTTATTAACTCTTAGGAGTTTACGTGTGATTCTAAATATACTCTGCGTATTTTATGCCATACCTAGGACTAGTGGTATTACATTTTGCGCAAAAAATCATAAACGCAAGTCATTGACTTACAACATTTCTTTCTCGTATTTGTAATGGTTTCGTATATCAGGGGCGTGAATACTAGAGATAGAAGGTTATACAGCGTAAGGGATACACGTATTCGTATGAAGTCAATCCTGTTGCAAAAGGACTAACGAATATCTTTCTTATTCAAGACAAGCAATGCATGAGTTTTTGTTTTTAAAAAAGGTATGGATTTGGAACACACTCTGAGTAAAGCATTCGACTCTGTCCATATTTCGTTTCAGAGATTTGCCAAATTGTTGTTAACACCAAATGTTCTAATAAAACAAAGACAATATGAAAGATGCCATGATCATACATAACCATCCATTATATTGGGTAAAACATAATATTCCTCCATTGAAAATCAAATAGTTATGTTTCAGTCCAGCATTACAGATAGAGAATGATGCACATTAATGTAATTGTGTCCAAATATAGAATTTGTGGAAGATTTAACGCGGGTAAGTTCAGATTTTCATCTAGATGGGGCTCCACTTTGTACGATAATTACAGTAAAATTTGCTACTCAAGTTATTTAATAGGCCTATATCACAGTCTAGGAGCTTGTCATATATACCTGTGTGTGAAATTCACAATGGCCGATAGTCAGTAAACAACAATTTAGACAATCAGTAAGAAAAAGTCTGATCGTGATACAGTAGAATCATGTAACAAAATGTTTAGATAGTTGACAAAAACTGAACCTTGGAGTCTTTCGTGGCTGCAAGAATTTCTACACTTTTGTTGTTTAATTATTACATGTTGCCTTATACAACCTATCAAGTGACTAAAGTGTTCTATTAGGTGTGCCATTTCTGCTTGTATAGCTGTTCTAAGAGCGGTTTGCTAAAGCTCTTGCAACATACAATGCTGCGCAAGTTGGAATGGTCACTAGTTCGGCTTGCTCTTGGCCTAACCCTCCCTTTGCAACAACTAATACATCCACTGACGTCACAGAAAGATCCTCTCTATAAGCTACAAAAAGAAATAATCCGGGCCAGTGTATATATGTGAGTGTGGATGTGACAAGAAGGAGGAATATAAGCCCTGGTGAGTAGACTCCTGGGGGATTTGTCACGTCAGGACACAATACAGCACCATATAATGCGCGTAGAAAGACCTGCTTTCGCCGAAATGGAAGATTATTACTTCCTCGCTGGCTTACAACTTTTAATGGACTCATTTTTCAGATAAATGTGTTAAGCGGTGGACGTAAACTGCTGGGAAGTTATGATGTTAAGCCAAATTATTGATTTTTGATTTGAATACCTACAATAACCTTAATGACTTCGGTACGGTTCTTCAATCTAAGGTTAACTTTCTGGTTAGTTAACTATAACCTAAAAGTTTACTTGTAGGTGCCTGCAATTGTGTTTTTCAAGTATTTTGGCAGCGCAAGTTAACTTAACTGATATATTTATGGTGCAATCCTGCATTTGTGGTTCTAGATATCATGTTCTATGCTTTTTGTACTCTCGACGTCTGTGTCTTATGTCTTACCCTCATATAATTTCATATAATAGTCGAAATTTGAATAAAGCCTTCGTCAAGCAAGGTAAGGTTTCAAACATTGCTTGTACGGTAAATGTTTAGTAGTAGACCTATAGACGGGATTACAGAAATGTCGGTAAATATCTGTTAAATATGTGTTTGTCATCTTTTTTTAGCAACACTTCTATATTCAAAAATAAAAGTCCTCAGCAGCAGAGAAAAAAATACGGCTATTTCTGTTGCTAAAATCAAACAAAAGATGTTGCATGGAGAAAGAGTAAGAACATAAAAAAGAGCTCAACATTTCTCAAAAGATGAGGAAATGTACAGTTTTCTGGTGAGAGAAATCTAGGGCGAAAATTCGCCGAATTCGGACGATGACGGATTATTTCTGGCCTTCTTGCCTCTTGGTCTCGGCTATGCGCATTTACGCCGCAATAAATAAATGTGTTTCAGCTTTAATTTGTATTGATCGATAAATTGATATGAACTTGTGAATTTATGGTTAAACACCAAAATGTGTCAACAAACGTTAAGTATGACTATTTAACTATATCTAGTTAACGCATAGAGGGTGTGCCATTTTACTATAAACATGATATTGAAAAACGCTTTTTCATAGATAACTATAAGTTAGGATCAAGGTCGTAGTTAACCTACGACTGAAAAACCGGGCCTTAATGGTTAAATACAAGGAGTGGTATCCCTAAAATAGCGATTATTCATCATGCAGAACTTGTGCTAAGTGACTGAAATTTGATGTAAAGGGTAGTATAGACCGAGATGCCACATCAAAAGTTTATAGTAGGGTTGCATCTAGCTAAAAAAGACCTTTAATTTCAGTTCTAAATATTAAAAACAATCATCATTGTAGGTTTAAATGTTGAAGTTATGCTACTGTAAAACCTTATCCTTGACCTATAGTCCTATTTTTGAACAAGGGATTAGAATCACGAAGAGAAAGTGAGCCTGGCCCTCAATCATATTGGACTTCCAGGGACCAACTGCTTCACTCTCCCACACCAGCGAGTACTGATTTTGGTATGCATTCCTGCCAGGTGACTTAACCCTTACCTCTTACTCGAAATCAAGATGCTGCAAATCTCATGCCAAAACACGATGTTGGCTCCATTTCTATATCTTCTCAACTATTTAATAACTTTTTAGCCGCGTCTTGTTCAATATTACCTGACTGCACATCAGTCTCAGCAGTGTTCTCCCTCATCAGGTTCACTTTACGAGGGATGTCTTTTAAGTTTTGCATATAGAAACATAGAAGTCCGCGCGTCAGTACTGAATATTAACCTCACTCTTTAGTAAACTTAAATTCAAAGTTTCACAACAATACGTGCAGTGTTCTCACTACAGTGAATTTTTAAGTGTCACCAAGTCATTAGAAGAATGAAACTCAACCCAGAACATTTTCGCGCCATAATTTATTAAAACTTTCAGAGACAATTATCGCAACAAGAATGCCTTGCTGAGTTACTATCTGTTTTCGGCAACGAAGCGCCACATCAGTCGACAATTTCCCGTTGGTATGAAGAATTCAAACGTGGGCGGGTGAGTCTTAGCGACGATCACAGGGTGGGTGCACCAAAAACGGCAGTCACCCAGGAAAACGTCGATGCTGTGCGCAAACTCATAATTGAAGATAGACATGTGACATATTGCGAGATTGAGGCGTCCTTGAAGATCTCAAAGACCTCAATTCAAAAAATTTTATATGAAGAATTAGGAGTCAGAAAATTAGTTTCCCGTTGGATACCCCACCTGTTGCTGACGAGCAGAAACCAGCCAGGGTTAATTGGTGTCAAAAAACGCTTGACCGTTTGAATTCCGGAAACTCAAAAAATGTGTACAGCATTGTTAGTGGTGATGAATCGTGGATTTACTGTTATGAACCAGAAAATAAACGACAGTCGGGTGTTTGGGTGTTAAAAGGTGAAGAAAAGCCAACAAAAGTCATCCGTTCTCGAAGTGTTTCTTAAAAGATGGTCGCGACATTTGTGTCCAAAGCGGGTCATATTGCAACAATTCCCCTTAATGAGCAGAGAACTGTTACTGCGGAATGGTGTACCACCATTTGTTTGCCAAAAGTCATCACCGAGCTTCGAAAAATCAACCCCGAAGGAAGAATCATCCTCCACCAAGACAATGCAAGCTCGCACACAGCCCAAAAAACAAGGCAGTATTTAACGGAAGAAAACGTGGAATTATTGAACCATCCTCCATATAGTCCCGATCCAAGTCCTAACGATTTCTTCACTTTCACGAAAATTAAAAACAGACTGTGTGGTCAAAGGTTCCTGTCACCAGAAGAAGCAGTTGACGCGTTCAAAAATGTCGTTTTGGATCTGGCAGAAAACGAGTGGAATAAGTATAAGTATGTGTATTAATCTTCATGGAGAATACTTCGAAAAACAATGAAGTCATTTAAAACTACCTACCGTGTTGTTTTATTTTCATATGCAAAACTTAAAAGACATCCCTCGTATGACCACATAGTTTCTTTGCTGCTCTTCACTAATCATTTTAGGAGCCAACTCGTATAACATGCAAACTCAAACTTGAATATCATCTTCTCAACAAATTACAATCAGCAACCAACTGTTTATAATTATATTTCAATGAGGTGCTTTTTAGTCTTTTTCCGCCATCTTGCGCGAGCACAGAAGATGTGAGGCATCAACGTGAAAAGAACAAATGAAAGTGTATGAAAATAATAATTTTTGATAACGTCGCCAAAACTTTCCTGGCAACCCCACTTTGTAAACCAAGTGATTAGATTACAGGAGTTATTCAGACTTTGAAAGTGTTATGTGACCTGGGTTTCTTAGCGGTTATTGATAACGTAAGAACCGTAACCTCAAGTCTTCACATTAGCAAAGCGGGGGTAAGAGTTTAAATTAAAAACAGAGGATACATAGGCATGTAGCAGAAAAAATACCGTATATTCCGTCGTCTATTGACTTTGATATTTCAACACGTCATCAGATTTTTTATTTATTTGAAGTATATCCGTCGCATAAACCTGTTCCGTATCTTTTCACAGTTGACTCTTGACTTTCACGAGTACGCTTGATACACAATGCCCGTGTTTCCCTTTGTTTGTTTGACTTAGTTTACAACACGCCGCTTTGGGGCCATTAATCGGTCTGTTAATGTACTTCTGCAGTCTTTGTCTTGGCAAGATTTATAAACTACAGCTTTTAGAAAATAACTAACGTCAGTTAAGAAGTTGGAGCACATTTGATGTCTGATTAAATGAGACGTTTCCTTGAACATTTTGAACCTTTGAACCAAATTTTCTGGTTGTTCTTGATCGACATTTATTTCTATCTGGTTAGCGATATAAAAATATTAATGACTTATGGCTTATTTTGTTGTTAAATTGACTCCTCTTTAGGTGACAGTTGTTTTGTTTTAAATGCAGATTTAATGATGAATGCCGAATATGCATTGTTCATGTATCTGAAATGGGAAGCACATGCTATTTCCATTAAGAAAAATTGGTTTCAGATACAACAGTAGTTGGGATCCAAAAATCGAAGCAAAATAATGTCTTTTGGTCAACTTGGACTTTTGGAGGATATCAGATCGTTATTTTAACAGTCCTAAGAAAAGTGCACAAGAATCAATTAATTGAGGTGTTGAAAAGGCAATTGGTACACACAAAAGGTGATCTTGAATTAAGGGAAACTTCCAGCTTTGGTTAGTTCTAGGAAAATTTTTATTTGAATCTTTATAAAGTCTCTGTTTTGGAGTAGTAATGAACTTAATACAAAAAACTAATCAATTTGTTTGAATTAAAGGAGGCCATGGTCACTATTTTGTTTGTTTGGAGTACATAAGAGTATAATAGTAATCTTCAAAACAAAGCAATCTCCTTATTGTTACAGTGTATTTCTAAAACATAAATTTCCTAATCCTATTTCCAGAAACAAGAATGATATTACTTCAATTCCACGATCTCCGATCAAGACCGATCAGAAGAATATGTGTTCTTCAAGCAACAAGTTTTGTGTTTGTTGAACTTGAGCTTTATACATTATTTTTCTGTCTTACGTATTATCATTTTTTTGTAGGTGAAACATTAAGGAGAGTAGGAGGAGCAAACAACGTAGTGCTACTGTAGGTCAGGCTAACTAGTCAAAAATGGACCCCGTCATAGAAAAGAATTATAAGCAACCGAATTATATTCCTAAATGTAAATGAAGTTATCTTCCGTCCTACGATAGAAACGATATTGCTGGGTAACTTTTTTACTCAATGTCAAAGTTGGAAAACTCACTTTCCATGCCTGTTCAAAAAAATGAACTGTAATAAGAGATGTAGAGGGTGAAAATACCTTTAAGGCGTGACTTTATATGCAATGTGCTCCATCTACAAAAGATCGAAATAAGATTTTCAGAAAATGAGAGTTTTTTCAGATGTTAGTTATTACGAAGGGGCTTTAAATTTTAGCAATTATTGCACGCTTTTTCTTAGCACCTTTTGGTAAAAAGTGAATGTGGGAATTGGTGATTTCTTGGATTAAAATTTTACCGTTCTGCAAATTGGTCATAAATGGTCTAGTTTTCAAGTTCTACAACTTTCCTCTGAACCAGTTTTATTAATAGTTGCTGGCTTTTTTTTAATATGTGAGAACATTATATTTTTCTCAACTTTGACGGTGAATCAAAAGTTTCTCAGCAAAATTTTGTGTGTCCCTAAAGGATAATTTATCTTCAAAAATATACTTCTTTTGCAAAATTCGACATCACAATTTTGTTGTGAACATTTTGGTCTACCGAGCTGTGGAAAAATTATTTCTATAAACTCGTCAACAACCCACATGGTGTGATAGTTGTATTTAAGTCGTCTTTAGACAAATTTCAATAAACTGCTATCGGTTATATATGTATATATCAGGTGCTTACTTTAGCTTCAAAATATCCATACTTTTGATTATAGTTTCAGAAAGTTAACCAGACCACCAACCTTGATCAACGTATTAGCAATGTAAAGCCATATGTGGTCTTTGATTATCGCAGATACAATCTAGCTTATTACCATGAAAACAACCGTGTTTACTGTCAACCAAAGATATTGTGAAAGCTTATCCATGCCGACATTGGGAAGCAGTCCCACAGGAGCCTGTGGGATTATTGGGAACGCCGTCGTCTGTCGTTAAGAATTTCACGGATGACAGTCACTGCGTCTATTCTAACTTTGTTCCCCAAGTAATATCGTTCATCATTTGTTTTTGAAGTTTCTGCTGTGTGCTGACGTGTGTCACTCGTGTGTATATATACATGGAAAGCTTCGTATGAATTGCAAATCTATCACAAAGCATTCGATATGTCTGATATGATACGATGACAAGTGTATTGGGGTGAGTTTTGAAGAAATATTTTGGTTCGCCACAGAGGCTTATAAGAGGTCAAAGCAGTCCAAAAATATATATAAACTATATTTTATGATCAATCACTTTATTTTCAATGCCAATTGACGAAAAAAGTACATCTGAACTGTTATTGCCCCGGGAAGTGCGAATAGAATAGCGCATATTTCTGTATACATCAAAAAGTATTTTTATTCCGATGAAATTGTGAACTTTTATTGTTTTTATGTTTTGCCGATACGGAAAAAATGCCTCATAGATTTTGGTCCAATGGTTGCTGACATACCGCCGGAAAAGTCAAAACTCTTTGACATTTCTGAGGATTTTATGCCGAGTGGGCCGATTAGTTGTGGTGTGACGGTGTTCTTTCCAAGTAACCTTTTAGTTTGTGCACCTATTGCACACCATTTTTGCTACTTTGACAATATCTTCTGGAGTATGTTGGAGTTGGTATTATTGATCTTTCTACGCTCCTTTTTGATCATCGAATAAACATCATTCACATACCAACTAAGTGGCTTCCAAGTACTGCGCTTAATAATTAAGTAACAATGTCGACTGCCTGTCTGTGTTTGTTTGTAATAAAGCCGATATCATCGAGTAAGTCAATATAAACAGTTTATAAATAATGCGTATTTATACCTTGAGAGCACGTCAGCTAAATCAAAATGTTTATCCGATCAGTCTGCTCCTTTAAAATAGATTTCTTCGTCTTTTATAATGGTTACTTTATTGTTTATTGCCACTCTGGATAGTTCACTTGAGATTTTCAAAACATGGACATTCAAAGTTAGGAATCTAACTTATGTGGAGAAACATTCTTATTAATTTGGGATACCATTATCTTTTAACAGTCAAGTCGACAAAAATATTAGTTTGCTCGCTCCAACCACTACTTGTAGAGTAGTTCAAGTAAATGTTAGTTCAAGGGCCTCCAAAGGAAGAACCTGTTGTCGTTCCTAATGGTGAATGCACGTCCGACTTCAGGGTTTTGGCCGCTCCAAGGCAAAGGACAAAATGCGCCCTCCGTTCATATTACGTACCACGTGTGGCGGTCCTTGAGCGGATGCTGTCAAAAGGTGTTTTGCGTTACCTACCGAGGAGGTAGTTTTTAGTGTGCAAATAGTTTAACCCACGTTTGCTCGCTATGATCGATGTTTGCTGACGTTTAAACAACACGTACAGCTACAAAACGAGTTCACAAGTATACATCAGATTGTGTTGCGTTAATGTTAATGTCACCACCCGTGCCGAACATTTGTCACCGAGTGACGCAATGCGCAACTGCGTACGACAGTGAATCTATCATCTCGAGTTATAGTAACATGCTACAATATTGCCTATAGCGTCTGATCCCCAAACCAACGTCAATGCCCCGGTACCTATAATCATACTCACATTCGACGTTCCGCCTTATACTACGTCGCTAATTGAGTGTACTCAAACAATAGAGTGTCGCTGGCGACGCCCTATCAACGCCCTCTATGCGCCACGCCAAGCGGAACGCCTTCAAAGCACGCTTGATGCCGTCGTAATTTGCCCTGCCAACCCCCGCTCACCTTCTAAGCGCATTATTTCGGTAGCTTTGTGTACGCTTTTGTAGCGTTATCAGAATATCTGATTATCGCTTTTTAGAGAGCAGAGCAAAGCAAGCGTCACAGAATGACGTCGCTGATGAGAGAATGGCAGATAATTTCTCTGTGTGTCTGTTTGTGTGTATGTGTGTGAGAGACTGTAAGTGTGTTTGTGAGCACTGAACGGGATGAAATGGAAACCAGAGGCGGAGTAGCTTATTTTATGAAGAATATTATGGAATAAATTACAGCAATAAGCCTATAAATCCAAATCCATTTGTCTTTGCTTTATTATATAGTATTGGGCTGACATTCACTAATAATATAATTTATATATATATATATATATATATATATATTTATATATATATAAATATATATTATAATAATATATACAAGGCGAAAATAAAACGCTTTGTCATGGTAGGAAACTTCACGACCATATTGACATTATATGCATTATAAATAAAGACCATTATTTTTATGTTTGTATATGCCTCCACCATTTTTGTGAATGTTAATACCAACCATTCAGGGAGTGATTGATCCTTTGGTATATTTTAAGACTACTAAGTTCTTTTGGAAATTGTCGTAAGACCACCATACCATGGGTTGGAGATACAGGAAGAATAAAAGTTTAGAAATTTTTTTTTCTAGCTAATGGGGATACAGGAAGGACAACAATTTAGAAAATGCAGTTCTTTAATCAAGAATATAAACGTGCTCATAGAGCCTGTCATCGAGGTACATCCAGCCAGAATGCAAGATCTTGTCACCCAGCTTTTTGAAAGAGTTCTGGGTCATCACTTATTTATCGGAGGTTTTTTCCGGAAACACACAAGGTAGAAACTGTGGAGGGATCCATTGTACAATATTATAATTGCTGTATATGACTTAGCCAGAAATTTCACTTAATAAGTTTGGCATTCTAAAGGTAGCCACGTGGAGTAGTTTTTCTAGGTTAAAAGGGTCACATGTAACTTTTTTGGTAGCAAAGCCGTATTTTCGAAAATTACGCTAGCTCCTTCTCCTTAAATCGAATCGATTTTTCAAAAATTAAGCCACTCTTTCACCAGAAATTTTGGCCCAAGAGTGTTTCTGTAGGTTAAGTTAAATTAGATTAAAGTAAGTTAGGTTCCGTTCGAACCTAGGTGATTCAGTGCTGACAAAATTAGACGTTCTTGAAAAAAATACAGCAAATCTAGATACTACTTTCTCCAACTTTGCCACATTGAAACCGTCTAAGTCGTACGAACATGCTATGTAGAAAATTACGCGACAGAGTCTATACATACCAATCACTTAAATTCCTTGCTTGAACATTCATACAAACACATTTCATAAGCCGTTCTAAGAAAAAAACATGAATGCTGTTTGAAGAACCATTTAAATCATTTTTAATATCTGTGTGTACACGATTTTTATGAATTATGGTCTCCTGCTTATTCTTTATTTTTCACGGATTTATGGAATGCATGGATTTGTAAGTGCTCAACGACAGCTGCTGTTGATGTAAAGGATTGCTAAAATAATGCCTTTCACTTTAAACGTGTGTAAAAATAGATCTCTAAATTATGTACACAAAGCTTATAAAGTATATGAACATACACCAATATTACAAGTAACGTTAGATAATGGTGGAAGTGCAGTATTTTGCTCCGGATGGTTTTAGTACCAAACATCCAAAATAGTATGGAAGCGTTTTAATTAGGCCAAAAAAGGAATTTAGCGCATGCTTCAGTTATGAATTAAATGCTGATCGTAGGAGTTATTTAGTATACAGGGTCTTCCGGGTTTAAATGGATATAGTGAAATTATAGGTAGTATCGACCGAGGCCTTTTCGTACCTGAAAATGAATGAAGTTTCGGTTTTGGATATACGGCGTGATTTACTTAAACACGTCAAATATTCACGATCACATATCTCAGATACTGTTTAGCCGATTTTGATGAAATTTTGCACATTAAAAAAATTATCTAGGAGTAACGAAAGTCTAGTCGGACGGTTTCAAAATCCAGAGCCGGACAACATTTTTTTTTGCCCATGAATAGTGCTTATTTTATATTAAAGTAGATTGATTGCGTCTCTGGTTTTATAGTTAAAAGATTTTAGTTATTTAAACATATTATTTTTATACCTATAGCTGTCACTTGATTTTCCCTGGTAAGGACAAAGAAGATGGGGAAGATGGGGCCAAGTCTTTGATGGGGGTTGTAGGTGATGGGGGTTGACACTAGTAGACTTAGACGCTTCTAGGCCCGTTAATTCTACATACCTATTGGACATATTGAATACTTGGATTGCTCCGTACGTTTGCCCTTTCTAAGACTCAGGATGTTGCGAATACTTTCAATATCCACATCAAACGCAACGAAAAGAGGAAATATACCTGTCGCGAAGAGGACTGGGTCTAGCTAGCCCGGTGTGTTACGATGTCGACCGCTAGCGCATCTTCCCGAAGGCTCGCGGATTTGTATATTATGGACGCCCGAATGGTGGCCAATTAGATATCGAGAAGGGAGTTTTTGCATCATACCCTCAAATTTTTGCGTGAGCATGAGTAGCAGCAAATTTCCTTGGAGTGGCCAAATGGTACACAAAACATTGCTATTTATGCAAATTTTAGGAGGCAGCCAGATTCTCGGGGGAGCGACTGTTATAAAAATTTTACGTAAGCGCACCTCAATGTATCATAGAAACGAATGATTCGTGGTTCTACACCAGATTATATTCTGTACACAATACAAATCCCAAACGTTTGTTTAGACATACCAAAATGACATTGGGGTTGTCTTGGTCCACTCACCCCTTTTTTGGATTGTGCCAACATATTGTATACATAGCGTATTATTTTAGATGCACAGCGAGGGTTGCTACTTGACATCAAAGGGGACCGGAAAGCAAATAGAGCATTTGTAAATATTAGCTGGCAAATAAGCTGCGGTTATGAGTGTATCAAAATGATCCTTTGTCGTGTACACGCACTCCTTTGTAAGCCCAATACCACGAGCTTTTACTTTTTGTTTCAAATTCAAATTCCTTTATGAGGTCCGAACGCTGTACGTAGGTATAAACAGGAACACGTCATATGTACGACATACAATATTTCTAAAGAATGCAGACGAAATAGAAGTCAACCTAAAGAAACGACAAAGTGAGTACTGAAAAATTAAAACATACATGTGATTAAGAAGTTAATGTGCCTTCTGATACTCATATTATTTCAGGTGTTAGATAAGAGCTTTTTAAAGTATGTTACCGACTTGTTTAATCGATTCTGGTAAAGTAGCCTCAGGCTGGTTCTAAATGCATGAGCGCTTTTTGATATCATCTTGCTTGCTTAACTTACAATATTCACAAAACCAAGCTACCACTTTAAATCTATGTCAAATTAGGTATAGACAAACTCGTACTTGTAATCTCTATGGTGTTCCGTTCCATAGTATTGAACAGTTTAAAAAGTAATATATATTATATAGATATAGTAAAAAACTCGCTCTCACTTAGTAGCTTCCAAAATAGAGTCAAATCCCATGTGTAAAGACTACAATAGTTTTATTTTTGCTGTTTGTATTAATTATAACTATTATCATCAATCTGTAATTGTTAGGTTCTCCTTATAGGATAATTTACGGGGCTTGCATGGAAGAGCAAATGAGTTTTTTTAATCCAAAAGTAAGGACACGCCATTATTATTATTATTATTATTATTATTATTATTATTATTATTATTATTATTATTATTATTATTGTCTATTCGTATACCAGCGTGCGACTTTTCATGAACAGTTAAGCAAACCTAATTTTTGTTCCTAGTATTATAATCATGAAACCGCAACTTTTCGAAGAGTACATTTTTTATGGGTATAAGTTAGCAGTTTTAGCAAATAGAATGAGAGAACGGACAAGAGTGGCTATCTCTTGAAATAGTCCCTACATGACGTTCTGAACGATAAATTGAACATATTTCTAAAGATCCTTTTTGTCTGATAAGACTCTGTCGATGGTTGTGTCCTCTCCTGTGACAACGATATTATATTATAAGGCCGAGTATAAACGCATAGTAGACACCAATTGAAATTTCACGACACGTAATTTTTTAGACTGTTTATGACAAAACCATCACAGCATTCAGCTTTTTGCGAGCAGTGTCGATTTGAATTTTCCAGTCTAGATGTCAATCTACCAGCAGAAGCCGTCTTTGGAAAATAGTATTGACACCTCCGCCTATGGTGGGGTAATAAATATTAACAACAATGTTTTGGCAGTATTGCATTCATCCGTGATATGAAACAATCCAAAGTTGAAACGGAAACGTTAAAATTATATTTACAAAAGAATTGATTTATTAGACAATACGAAAATAATGAATGATATATTATTTTTCCAGATCACCAGGCGGTTTTGTTTACATAGGTGGTCGCAAAGTCTTGGTTTATAGGACTGTTTATCACAATACATCAAAGGCGTTTATACAAACTGGGTGCGATATGATTTATAGTTAATACTGCTGCCGCGTTGCGTAACAATTAACAATAATTACTACGATCACAGTTTGAATTTCTTATGACAATAAACCAATAGAGTAATGATTACAGTGTGATCCCATAATATTCTATACCAAGCAGTGAATAATGATAACTTCGGGATACCTTTTTAGCAAGACTGTAAGTATCTAAAGATTTTTACTCCATGAAAATTAATTAAAATGACTAGATACTTCTAGCTGGAATTTCAATATTTACCTCAAAACCTGTCGAAGTATAGAACAATCATTATTACCCACTAGAATACATCAGCGCAGTTCCACGTTCAATACTGCTAGTATTTATCACATATGCTAACTCTCGTTAAACCAATTCTGGAAAGATATCAAATGCTTATTATTAATCAGTCATAGTGGATTATGCATAGTTATTGTATAATATTGATGCCCACTGTCTGCCATATCGGTTCTCTTCACCTTCTTTTTTTAGGTGTGGAACAATTCTCAATTTGTACTATGTTCTTCTCATTATGTTACATCTAATATGTTCTGAAAATATAAAAAATATTGAGGGAAGCCGCCAATAATAGACAATGTTCGTAACTTTGAGCTTCCGCAAATATTTTAGAGTACATTTTTTGGCGAACATCAATACATCGACATATTTACCTATATATTGAACATTTTTACAACTTTTTACAATAAATAGTAATAACAGAAGAAATGCAATCGGTACTTGCCTCATTTTGAAGGTTTATTATTTCTAATCTCGCGACTCGGCATGTCTCTTTATATGATGAGGTGATATACAGATTATTGAACGTCGTTAAAGGCATTGTCCGTAATGGCAGAATCCCTAATACTTCACACCTTCAGTTTCAACAACTCTCCAAAGAGAAAACCATTACTCTCTAGAAAGTTCAGAATGGTTGCTAGGTTGCTTGTAGGTTTTTAGGAGAATCCAGAGATAGGACAAGCTTGTGGCCTGCTCGCACGCCGCACTTAAACACTTTTATAGAGTGAGAAACAATATTGATTCTAACTGCAAATTTTCCTTATTAATAATCAAAACGATATCACAATCCTCTTCATTACCCTGTTGTCTACTCTTTCAAACTCCAAACTTGCCGCACCTAATCCCCTTTATCCCCGCAATCACCGCGACTCCGCAACGTGGTGTCGAGATCGCGGTAAATAAAGCCTAATATCCGTGTTCATCCCCCGGAAGGCTGAGCTAATTACCCTTGCACGTTAGCGGGTCTCTATCGGCCCATAAAATCATAATTCATATTTCAGAACAGAGGGTGGCAGCCAGGCACCCCCGTGACAATGTATCCCCGCTCTCCGCGCTCTAAACGCTTCGTTGCCTCCATCATGTTCGTTCTGTTGCCTCTATTATCTCCACGATTCCGCCTTCGGCTCCCAGGTCGTGCTCTGACGCCGATGTTTTGGTTAGTGAGACATTATTAATTTAATGTTGATGTTCACAAACGGTTTGTGCTCTTGCACTTATTTATGTGATTCGTTGATTACCTTTTGCCATTTTAAGATGTGAAGTATTAAAATATATGAATACAGCTGAAAGTCAGTTTTTCGGAATGTCCAGTGTCGCGGGATGATCGGCACAAGTTAGTCCCTCTGAACTAGATACAAGCATGTATAAAAAAATAAATGGATTAAGTCAGCCAAACAGGCCCCACCAATTTGATTAAGTTAACACTAGTTTCTCCCCTGCCCTAAGTATCCACCATCTGGCAACGATGCTGAATCACACTAGCATAGTAACTGAAAAGAACCGGCGATGCAGTCAGAGTCAATCAGACGCAGACAGTGCTCAGCACATGTCGCTTCTATAAACACATGTCTAAGGTTTAAGGGCAATTGTACGTATGATGTGCGAAATATACTAAACTAACACCCAGTTTAAATGGTTTTATTTTAATAAAATTTTGTAAAAGTACTTAATGAAGCATAATAAGTAAATGATAAAAATTTCAAAATGATTGCACTGCTTTAAAGCCCTTTGACCTTTAATAATGTGTGGATGCACCCTAATGTGCTACGCATTCTCCAACGCGCCTAGGCATGCTTCTGATCAGGTGGTCAATGTCCTCCTGTGGTATCTCATTCCAGGCAACCACCAACTCCTGTCGAAGTGCTTCTAGAGTCTGAGGAGGACGTTGCAAATTGAGCAATCTCCTACCCATCATATCCCACACGTGCTCAATTGGGGATAAGTCGGGAGATCTTGGTGGCCATGGTAACAATGTGACATCATTATGTTGAAAGAAGTCTATTGTGACTCTTGCAACATGTGGTCGGGCATTATCTTGTTGGAAGTTGGATCTGCCAGGGTGTCAAGATATGGTAAAAGATGGGGTTCTAGAACTTCGTGGATATAACGCTGCGCGTTCATGTTACCTCTGATGAAGATTAAAGGTGACCTGGAACCATAAGCTATAGCACCCCAAACCATAACTCCAACAGTGTGATGAACATGTCTTTAAACAAAAAACTGTGGATTCCTCCTTTCACCACGTCGCCTTCTAACCCGGGCACGACCATCGTGCATGCCTAAACAAAATCGAGACTCGTCACTAAAGACAATACTGTTCCATTCCTGATCCCAGAGTGACCGTTGTCTGCACCACTCAAGGCGATTACGTCGGTGTTCTCGAGTTAAAGGGAGGACCCAGTGTGGCCGGTATGAAAACAAGCCAAAACTTCTCATTCGTCGGTAAACACTTCGCATCCCAATAGGTCTTCCGTGTTCTGCAAACCATTCATTTGCAATGGGCCTGGTAGTGGAGAAACGGTCCCTTAAGGCCAATAATCTTAGGCGGCGATCTTCACGGTCTGTTGTTCTACGGCGGCGTCCAGTGCGCCTTGCTCTTTGCGTACGGCCTTCTCGAAGCCATGCCTGACAACACCTAACCACAGTGTCTACACTTCTTTGCACTCTAACTGCAATTGCCCGAAAAGAAAGTCCAGCTTCCCGAAGTCCCACTATACGGCCCCTATCAAACTCACTAAGTTTGACGAAATCGTACAGGTCTCCGTACTCTAGGCATCGTAACCGATCGTAAAGGATGTCAAGAACCAAAATCCGCCAACGCTGATTCTTTACTGCGGCTGAAATATTCATTTTTAGAGCGTTAGTGAATTAAAAAAAAGCAGTATAAAAAACCGGAATGTCCAACTGATAAAGCTGAACATTTTTCACTTGTTATTTACAGTAAGATAAATACATTCACCAGCTTTTATTAAAATAAAACCATTTAAACTGGGTGTTCGGATTTATATGTCACTTAGTATATGTACTAATAGATGTGTAAAATTATTGGGCTTCAAAGCTGCCAAAAACTGATATATACCATGCCCCACCCCCGATTCTCAACCCCTACAAAAAGTAGGCGTGGTAAGTACAAATGAGGAAATTGTGTTCCTTAAATAAATTGACTCCGTTTACAGTAGAAATAGAAATTTTGAAAAATCTCATATGAGATTGGGAACGGGGGAGGAGGTCGAGACAAATCTCAAGATATCTTAGGAAGGAGGGGTCAAAAAATGATCAACCTCTTTGCACTTACAAATGCGTTAGGTCTTAGCGCAGTTAAGTATGGAATTGGTTCCATCTCGTTAACGCTCAAACATGTCGGACTCAAGCATGGTATGTCTGTGGTACCACCACATCCTCGTGGAGACAGAGAGAATGCATACCGAGGATTATGACTGTATTTAATGCACCCTTGCGTACACCACATGGGAGTTTAACCATTCCATCACATGTGGTTTATACAAACTGGTTTATGGGAATATAGTATGTCAATTTTTGTAAGGTAAAATTCACTTTATTGCCCCCAAACGTAACAATAGAAGTTCGAGAGTGTTTTAGTGTCAACGTGCTAGAACCATATTTTAACTAAGTCACCTGTTTAAATCATTTGTAACGATTTTATCTTAATAGGTAACATTTCTGGCACTAATCTCTCGTCTCTATGGCTGTTTACATATCAATTTTGCAGATCACATTGTTTACTTTTACATAACGTTGGTAAATTTTCGGCTTCCAATGTTCTATTGGTTTCAAGTATTTCCACCTATTTTATGCGTAAGAGTATGTGCCTTTTGAAAATAAATGTATATCTATCTATGTACTCGTAGTTGGTCTCTCAACGTATTATGGCCAGACGACTCTCTCACCATCAATCAACCTTAGATTGTTTCTATTCTGAGATTGGAAAAAAGTCCGTCCTCGATATCAGATCGTAAAATTATGTTAACTGTAATGCTTGACGGAAATATGAAAACATAAATTATGGCAAATTTTGGAGGTAGTAAATCTTTCTTTTCGAATTTTACCTGAAACATGAAGCAAAG